AGATTTTTAAAATTTTAAAATTGCTGCTGAATTCAAGTAATAAAAAATTATTTTAAGTAATTTATATTTTTATTTTACTTTAATAAAAAATTACTTTATTATTAAAAAACAAATTTATTTTTCTTGATCTAATCTTATTTAAAAATGAAAATAATCAAAAAAATAAATTATATGTATTTCCTACTTTAATCGTAAAATTACATATTTTAAAAACTTTAATAACATAAAATAAAAAATAAAAAGTTTATTTTTCAAATAAAAAGGACTAGTTTTATTATAATATAATACTTTATCATAATACTTTATTAATATAAATATACAGTATATACAATTTACATATATCAAAATAAAAATATAAAAAATTAGTAACTTTTTATTTATTTACCTGACTTTCCTAAAATAAATATATATATACACAAATTGAATAAAAGGAAAAAAAATATTTTACTATAAATCTACAAAAAATTGCAAAGCCTAAAACTTAAACTAAAAATCAAAAATAGGTAAACAGATAAATAAATAGATAACTGACTAAAAAATACAATAAAAATAGTTAAAATAAAGAAAAAGGATAGTAGAGGAGTAGAGTATATAAAAATAAAGATATCCTTACCATAAATCTATAAAAAATTGTAAGATTCTCAAAAACCTAAACTAAAAAATCAAAAAATACAGACAGACTGACAGATGAATATATGATTAAAAAGATATAATAAAAATTAAAAGAAGTATATTAGAGTAATAGAAGGATAAAAGAAAAAAAAATTTTTTTGTTAAAAAAAATGTTATATAATAGAACTATTAAAAATAACTTTGAAGTTTTTATTTATTTTACATGTATATATACAGTGTGTTGCAAAAAAATGAAATTTTGATTATGTAATTTAAATTAATCTTACGTGATCAAAATTTATCTGATTTTAATTTTCTAAAATATAAAATTGATGTAATGATTATAATAAATAAACCTTAATCTCTGATTGATATATTACATATTTTTTTCCTAAGCTACTATGCTACAAATATAATTTTAAAGCAAAAAAAAAACAACCAGACTATTTTATAATTATGGAATGAAAATATATACAAAGGGTCAGAAATATAAAGATTTCCTTTTCTATTATATATGACAATATTAGAAAATAAATAATATTAATATGATAAGTTAAAAAAAAGAAAGTAATCATTCAAAAAAGATTATTAGCAAATTTTTCAAGTCCCTTAGATAGAGTATCTAAAGAAATACTTTAATACTAATAAGGACTTTGACCAAGAAATTAGGGTAACAAGACCTTGAAGTATTCTATTTAACAGTTTTAAGACATTTAGCCACTTATAGTTACAAAAACTCTTTTAAAAATTATTCTAATACTGATTGCTATCTCTAAGTAGAAATAGGTCAAATGAATATAATAATACATTTATTTTAGATAAAACAGCTTTCTAATAGGACTCCAGAAACTCTATATAAAGGTTAGTCTAAAATTTAAGAAATTTACTATTGTTTTTATCTAGTTTAAGTCAAAAATTTACTAGTAATATTATCTAATTTTGAAACAATTTTAAATATTTTTTAATGTATATTACCTAAAATAAAAATAACTTATTATGATTTTTTATATTAGTTTATCATACAAATTTGTTTACTTTATTAATCAAAATTGATACTAAAATATTAACTATATATTTTTGTGAAAAAAAATCAAAAATTTCTCATAAATTTCCTATTAAGCATAAATGATCAATTAGATTAGCAACTTTTGAATTAGTATAGATTATATCTGAGCTATTATTGAAGTGATAAATAACTTGTTTTAGAGTTATGTGTGTGAATAAATTTCACCTGTTCTACTAGTTAGAGAAAATAAATTGCCATTAATATTAATATATATAGCAACCGAAATATAAGATAAAGAGTCTACATCTTTTGAAGAAGAAATATAAGCATGCTGCTTAGATACCAATTTATACATTGACAATACTTTTTCTACTAATATTTTTTCCTTTAACTTATATAAAATAAAATTATTTTCTTATAATAGATTATTATTCGTTACATTTGTATAAGAAATATTTGAAGTTATTATTTAATAAATAATTAATAAATATAATAAATTAAAATTAAAAGTTAAAATCATACTCATACCTTTAACATGTTAGGGTAATCTAATATTTTCAAGTTTTTTCTTCTCATCTATCTTTTTTTTTCGTGATCTAAATGTAGATTCAAAAGTGTCATCATTTCAAAAAAATTCTGAAATTATCAAATTTGCTAAATTTTGTTTTAATTTTACCTAATTATTAGATGATTGAATTGTATTTAAATGATGATTTTAACAAAGTCATTCAGATTAGAAAATGTATTATAAGATGCACAATTTTGAATTATTTGTATTATATTTATTGAATCATCTTTATAAAACAATTTATCTTGTTCTAATTCAATTATTAGAAAATATTTTTTTGAAGTATTTAAAATATAATTTAATTCAAGTTTTGACGAATCTGCAAGCTTATGCTTGTATCCTAATTCATTTGTTTTTTGCTTTAAATCTGCTAACTGCGATAATTATACTATTTTTAAAGTTGCATCAACTAAAGGAAAGACTTAGGTTTATCATTATTAAAATCAATTTCACTGAGATTATTTATATTATCAAGATCATCAAGACTAGCATTTAAATTATCAGAAATTGCCACTAATTAGTGAGACATTGAACTATAAAAGTGTGGAATTTATTTATCATTTAATAATTTAATTTTTAACATTTTAATAAATTTAACTGCCTTATTATATGCTATTTTAATAGCATTATGAATAGCATTATCATCTGGTCATGTTCGCAAAATATCAATATTTTCTTTTAATTTAAAATTTAGATCAAAATCAAATATATATCCTAGTAAATAATAAAAATTAAATATATTAATTGTAGTTTCATAAAATTTAATATAGTATTTATTAATTTACCTGATGCTGATATTTTTTCCTTTTGAATTTACATATTTTGTCTAATAATTTTATCCTAATATGCAACACATTATTGCATTTTAAAAATTCATAAAGGAAAAATCATTTATTATTTAACGAGATATACCAAACATATGCTTTATAACTTTTATATCATATTTTCAAAGATATAAAGAGTATAATAAGTAAAATTTACGATGAGATAGAATTAATAGTATTAAGGATTTACTAGATTAGTAAAACTTTAAAGCTTTGTAGAGAAATAAAGTTTTTGGTAATAGAAAACATTGAATTATATAATTTACTAGAATTTTCTATGTATTTAACCTACATATTTAAGAAAAAATATCTACATATAGCCATTATAATTTATTTTTTATGAAAAATATTACGATTTAAGTATGAATTAAAAGATCTTCTATTTAAAAACAAAAAAATTTATTATAAGCATAATATAATAAATAATATATTAAATATTTACTATTTATTACTTAACACAAATAGATAAACAAATAAGGATTTTATTATTTTCTAGGTGTATTTGTGTCAATACATCTGAATAAAATATCCTATACATAGCTTCATTATTCTGTTTATTAATATTCAAAACATTTTGCACATAAAGTGCATGATCTGAAGATTGAGCAAGAGTTAAAAGATGCTGGTAAACTATTACAACATTATTTCCAAGTATAAAAAGTCATACTCCTAAATAAAGTTGATTATGAGCTGTTTTTTTTAGCGTATTTAGGGTCTTGCATGGTTATGATAGGTAAATTTTGATATATTGGCATCTATATGTATTAATTTATTCAATAAATGCTTCTTTTAAATCATACAACTTTATTAAATTTTAATCACCTGGAAGTGTACATTATAATAATTATCATGAAATTCAAAAAAAGTTTTAGCTTTTTTACTACTCATTAATAATTATTGTAAATTATATTCAATAGGAGCACTATCTGATTCTAAACTAATTAAATTAACACTTGTATCTTGTAACATGATTATTATATTCATTAAAAGATCATAAATTTCTGCAGCATTAGATTCTCCTTTTGTTAGTAACATAGAAATTATAAGAAGTAGAATTTTTTCAATTGGAATCTAGTAAAATATTTAAAATATTAATAATTTTTTAATAAATAATTTTTAAATTATTTAATTTATACCTTTAATACTACTACTTTAACTTGAGTTGCAATAGTTTTTTTTTGTTTTATATAATTTATAATTTTATAAATATCATCATATATTTAAACTGAAGTTTCTGATAATTTTAGAGTTGATCCAATAATTCTACTTAATTCATCTGAATAAGTTAGTTTAAGCTGAATTTTTGTACAATTTGTCATTCCAATAATAGACCTAATTTAATTAAATGCTTTAATTAACTGAACAAATTTTAAAATATTTACTTATACTAATTCTGGATTAGTTACAATATCAACTTTTTTTGCTCGCAAGTATCTTATAGATCAAACACTCATTCTTGCAAACATTTATCTAAAAATTTCATACTCATGGCTATTCTTTGACAGTAAACTAAAAAATTGTTTTAAGTGTTCAGAATCACAGAGGCCTAAGAGTTTTTTGTTCTTTAATTTTTTTTTTTTGTATTTGCATCATTAATGATTCTAATTCTTAAAATGTTTTTTCTCCTTTAACAAATACATCTTTCCAAATTAAGCCAATTTAATTCAAATTGTTGTATTATCATTATCTTCATCAGCTGATACCTATATTGATTTAAAATTCATATTAATAAGTAATTTGCTTAAAGAATATTCAAGATAGCATTTTAGAATAAAACAAATATTTTTTTAGTTGCTTATCGCTATAAATATAAAAAACTTAGTTGGTCTAAGTTTATAAATATAATACAATTGAACATATACCTTATTAATTGTTTTATTAAGATGATTATTCTTTTTTAGTTTGTCACAGTTGTCACAAATACCTGATTCTCTAATTGTAAAGTTTTTACATATTTTGCTTTTAACGGATATAGTAGTTTATTTAAAATTCATGTAGTATGTGTATGTAGATAATTTTTAAGATTATCATGTTTCGCTATACTAAGACTTTTTAATCTAAATTTTGTTTTAACAGTCTCAGAAAATAATTCTTTTGCAGTTATATCAGGTCTAACTGATCCTTCAAATTCAGCAGGACTATTAAGTATATATTCTTGATACTTTTCTTCATATAATTCTTTATATGCAATTTTTTTAATATTTATATTATCTTCTTCATTTCTATTTTTTTTTGGTTTAAAAAAAACTTTAATGCTTTGTTATCCTTTCCATTATATTTACAATTACTTAGTTCACTATGTATCATAAGATTTTTATCCTTAAAATCTCGATTTAAATGAATTTCTTTTTCACACTTACAACGAACTAATTTTGAAGTTATTTCTTTCATAAAATATTTATTAACATGCAATTTATTTCGTAGCTCATCTATTTTTATTTGCAAAAAAATTTTCTTTCTATGTTTTCTCTGTTATTACTTTATTTTATTTCACATTTATTTCATCTATTTCGATTAAATCATATCTGAATAAATCCAAAGATTTTTTTCAGAATCATAATTACTATCTTTAGGTAAAAAAAGCTCTATAGAAGGAGAATTTTTAAAACATTCAGCTTGCATTTTTAGAATAGAAAAAAAAATTTTATTATGATTTTACGTATCTGATGTATATATTTATATATTACAGTAGCGGTCATAAGTATCCAACCGCCTCTAACTCCGGCTACAAGTAAGTAAATTCAAAATTTTTTTTTTATTTAAAAAATACATAACCAACTAACTA